CTATCTTCGTCTATGCTCAAATATGGCGCTGGCTCAGCCAGAGAGATGTCTGCGTCGCTTATTAACCAACCCATTTAAACATGTTCGATTCCGGATTTATGAAGACCGTTCACCTTTATTCCCATTCCTAAATTCTCTTCATCTATCATTTTATCTAAACGCTTTCATCCTACCACCATCACCTCCTCTAGACTTAAACATGCAGAGTGCGCCATTCTCACCCACTTGCAGTCTGCTATTATTGTTCCCAGTGACCCCCTCCAGTTTGCATACAAGCATACAAGATGCACTTTGGACGCTGTCTCTTCAGTGATACACTTAAGTTGTAAATCTTTAGATGATTCGAAAAAGTCCGTTTGTTGTGTTCTCCTTGATTATTCTTCCATTTTCGATTCCGTTCCACAACCTCTTCTTCTGAGAAATTTACAGCCATTTGGTNTTGGTTGCCCCATCAATTTATTGTCATAGCTGAAAGATTATTTCACAGAAAGGATTCAAAGTACGAAAGCAAACGGCACTATTTCAAAACCGTTAGGGAATGATTCTGGAGTCCTCCAGAGTGCTATGCTCTCTCCCTACATATTTTTAACTTTCAGCAGTCTTACCTCAGAATTTCTCAGTAACCTTAAAGGCTAAATATTTTACTTGTATCTTTCCTTCTATTGATGAGATGTGTAATTTTTGACTGCGAACATTCTATTCTCGCAAAAGTCTATACAAATACAAATACAATACCCTCAATCCCACCAGCCAAGAGGTTTAAATATACTGATGATCTGGTCTTATGTCATGCCATTTCGAACCAATCTGACAGAATCATTTTCCGGCAGTTTATTATAAGTGCAATCTTTCTCGAACCAATCCAGTCTCCGGTTGAATAATTCTAAATGCTTCAAATGCATTTTTAGTCTTTCCCGATCCGAATATCCCTCGCAATCCTCAGTCATCAATCCCGTACCCATCACCATACACATATATCAAATTGTGTAATTTGCATATCACTTCATGTGAGAATTTCGCTCGTAAGATACTCAATGACCGCAGATATTCGCTCAATCTCGATTTATCCGCCTGCTGTTCCCACACTACAACCCGATCAAATTTTCACTGCTTACCCTTGCGCATAGACATTTATCGCAACTCCACGGTTCCCTATCTGGCTTGTATTCTCACTGACACGGTGAAGATCCGCAACGAACTAATTTTAAACCTTCAAAGATGAACACCTGTTTAAGTTTTATCATTGTTGTATATGAATTTTCATTTCATTTGTTATCCNAATTCAGCGGTTCCCTATCTGGCCCATATTCTCATTAACACGGTAAACATCCGCAACGAACTAATTTTAAACCTTCAAAGATGAACACCTGTTTAAGTTTTATCATTGTTGTATATGAATTTTCATTTCATTTGTTATCCCATTGTAACGGTGAACACGGTTTTGATTGAAATGTAGGTACAGTTGCCTGCACAAGTCATCCATAATACAATACAATACAATAATACAACATCAGATCGGAGATCGGTAAACGCACCACGATTGATAGCGCGTCATGCATAACAGTGGTCACACTATAATCGGAATACAATAATAATGAAAAAACATTTTGGGGTGAAGGAAATGAGAGGTATGCAGCATTTAGAAACTGCGTGACTTGGATTATTTATGCTGATTTTTAAATGCAAAATCAACCGTATATGGTTTCTGTGTCCTTCACTGGGAGTTCCAGTGTTCGATTTACCGAGCATCACATAATGAATTTCATGTCAAATACACCTTTGGTTTGTTTACAATAACTTCGTGTTTCCATACTTTGGAAGATATACCGGAGGCAAATACATTTCCGTCATTAAATTCGATTTAGTGACATATCCTATGGTAGCTTCAGTCGACGAACAAATGCAAATGTGGAGCCCCGGGATAGAAGCTGGGACACCCTAAAGAAGTAATCGCTCTACACCGCGTCCGATGGCTTGGTCGCGTATCGAGTA